CCCATATGGTTAAAATCTTTTACAGGTTCTGTTTCGAGAATGGCCTGATGTCCTCTCACTCTTGGGTGGTCTGATTGTAATCAAAACATTGATTATAACCGCACTCGGTCCACGAGTTGGCCTCACATTACAAGAAAGTGTAAGAATCGGGTTTCTTCTTTCTTAAGGAGGAGAATTTGCATTTGTTGTGTTCTCTCTAGCGAACAGGTTTTTACTAACTCCCAATATTATTGCTCAAAGATCTCCAAAACATTTCATTAGATTCGACATTTTTCCTAACTAATTAGGTGGCCCTGATTGTTACAATCATATGTGCAGGCTAGGATTGCTTCCACTTGAGCTGAACAAGCTACTCATTATCGTAGTTGTTTTGTCTATGGCTTTAACTCCTACGCTTAACCAACTCGGGAGAAGAGCTGCCGATTTCCTTGATGAGAAATTTGATATCGTAGAGGTAACTTAGCTTATAGATTTCTACTGATGCACTTAATGAAAATTAGGATTAGCATTCATCACGAATCTTACATTTTTGCAGAAATTAGATGAAAATGTGAACTATGACGTTAGTGAATAAATTGTCATCATTGAATTTGGACAAATGGGTCAGGTAAAAGTTATTTGTTTTTTCTTGTACTGAAAAAGTTGTTCGAAATGGCTTGGTTTCCTATCGAGTCGATATGATTTTACAGGTGCTGGCCAATTTTTTGTCAACGTCATTGGTCTCAGGAGTAGACAGTGATCTTGTGGGATGGCCTTACATTGGTTTTGATCTGAATCCTTCTGTAGTAAAGGTCTGAAACAGATAATATGTTTTTGTTTGTTCCTGACCTGATCAAATTGTTGGCATTATAAACTTTTTCTTATCTTTTTATGTTGGATTTTGGCAGGAATCAAGGAAACTTGGTTTCCCGATATTGTATGGAGACGGATCTCGGCCATCGGTTTTGCAATCTGCAGGTGTTTCATCTCCTAAAGCTATCATGATAATGTATAAAGGCAAGAAGAGAACCACTAAAGCTGTTCAAAGACTCCGTCTTGCCTTCCCCGGGGTTAGTTTGCTCTTCCTTCTTCCTTTATCAATTAAATAGATTGGGCAATTAACTCTGGTTGCTTTTTAAACTTATTACCAGGCTCCGATTTACGCAAGAGCTCAAGACTTGCCGCATCTTCTTGAACTAAAGAAAGTAGGAGCAACAGATGCAATTCTTGAAAATGCAGAGGTAAACTTCCAAAAAAATCTCTTTCTTGAATCTTGATTACTGAAATTTCTTTCTGATCGAGTTTGTTTCTTTTGGTTTTACGACACGCAGACAAGTCTACAGCTTGGTTCGATGTTGAGAGGATTTGGAGTAATGTCTGATGACGTAAGCTTTCTAAGTAAAGTTTTCAGAGATTCAATGGAGATTCAAGCTCAAGACGAAATCACTGCTGCTGAAACCAGTGCTGGTTCACAAGTTCCGCCTATGAAGCCGATGCAAATGAAAGCTTCTGATACAAATGTAGACTCTGTGCAAGTACAAGTGAAAGCTTCTGATTCAAACGCAAATTCTGCAGAAATTCTTAAAGAAACAGATGGTTTGGGTCAGACTGAGATTGATTCTCCTGTGAATATAGATAATGGTTTTGTTGGTAAAGCTGAGAAAGCCCAAGAGTAAAAGAATGGTAAAGCTATGAAATGTTTTAGCAAATCTTCCACATTGATTTTTATTTGGTTATGTAATTTTAGTTTTATAGTTAGGAATTAGTTCAGCTTATTTTAGTTTCGATCGTATTAAAGAAATTATTAATACAACTTATTTCTAAATTACCACGGTAATTTAGTAGTTTGCAATCCAATTTTACTTAAACTAGCAACACATTCATGTAAAATTGGCCCCTACTAAAAAGAAAATTATATCACATTGGACAATGTCTATCATTCCGGTGTTTACCAATTGAAATTTACAAATTTTTTTTTTTTTTGGTCGAAACAAAATATTTTTTAAAAATGAGCTTTTACTACGTCCTTATGATCACAATTGAAAGGAAATTTGAACAATGGAAAATGAATTTTCTATACCAATGTTTCCAGTTTTGTCCATTGATTGTTATCAAGAAGTATGTAAGTTCCATTGAGATTTAATGCCATTAGTTTCCTCGAGTCTTTTCTTCTTCTTAGGTTTTTATCAAAGATCAATTAACTGTTATGTTAATGAAAAAAAAGAATGTTTTTGAAATTTAATTTTGCAAAAATAAAAACATTTTTCTTTTTCTCTAATTCGGTTAGACATCATGTTGTAAGGTATTTCATCGGAAGTAGCTCTTACAGTAGTGAATCTAAAATGAAGCTATATAACTTTATATGATTTCTATGGAATCTCTTATATTTGCCTTTCCAAATGAAATTATATAACTTTATTTGGAAAGTCAAATATAACTTTATCGTAGATTTGGAAAGGCAAATCAATATTTTTCATTTAACTTCAAAGATATAATTCATGACTCACATACAAAATGGAAGATTGCAAATATGAACTGAATTTTATAGCTTTGGATAATTATAAAAGTAATAATATAAATTTTCAAATAGAAATCTAGAGTTAATTAAATGTTCATAAACTGCTTTGGTTATATTCTAATAGAGATATCATCCATTTTATATATGTAAAATTTTTGCAATTACTTGGTAAAGAAATGTGTTCCACCCTTAAAAAATTATAAACATCAGATTTTAAATTTTATGAGAAGATTTATCACTTATTAATAAAAGTATTTAAATATCAAAATTTTATATTAAGTAATGAAATATTGCAAATATAAAATATAAAAAGAAAATAGTTGTTCTAGTAGAACGAAGAGAGAGAAATTGACTCAAAGCTTAAACATATGCGCTCTAGAAAATTTGTTTTGTAAAGCCAAAAAAGAAAAAAAAACTATTTTAGCTGTGAGTAAAAAATTAAAAAAAACTAGAAAATTATTGGTTGGACTTAAAAGCTGTAGCTTTTTTTTTGCCATTGCCAATCAACCCTTATACTTTATTCTACATGAAAGACAAATATTAAATTTTAAAAATTGTAAATAAAGAAAG